AACTCGGGGGCGAAGGGCGGGGTGAACGCCCGCAGCCCCTCCCAGTCCACGCCGGCGAAGAAGGGGTGCTCCCGGAAGTCCCGCACCCCGTTCCGTCCCAGCCGCGTCTCCCGGGGACAGAGCAGCCCTTGGATCAGGGCCCGGGCGTCGTCTGGCACCTCCGGTGCCGAGAGCGGGAAGCGAAAGTGCTCCTGAAAGGCGGGAGGCGGGGGGCTCAGGGGAGCTGGGGGGGCAGACCAGGTGTGGAGCGGGGGGGCAAGGTGGGCAGGTGGAGATGGGGAGAAATGGGGGTGCAAGGCACTGGGGCAGTGATGGGCAGAGCACTGGGGGTGGAGATGGGGGGGCAGGACACTGGGGTGGAGACTGGGGGCGGGGTGCTGGGGCAGAGATGGGGGCAGGGCTGGGGTGAGATGGGGGCAGGGCTGGGACAGAGATGGGGGGCAGGGTACTGGGGCAGTGATGAGGGGCAGAGCATCAGGGGTAGAGATGGGGGGCAGGGAGCTGGGGCAGAGATGGGGGCAGGGCTGGGGTGGAGATGGGGGCAGGGCTGGGACAGAGATGGGGGGCAGGGTTCTGTGGGGAGGCGAGGGGATGCCTGGCAGTGGGTGGGGACTAGAGGAGACTGTGCACTCCTCCTAGGGTCCCAGGTACCGGTGCCGCCTCCCTGCCCCCCCCAACCTTAAAGTGGATGATCTTGCCGTAGGTCTCAACGATGGAGTCGGCGAAGAAGGGCGTGTGCCCGAAGAACATCTCATAGGCGAAGACGCCCAGGGACCACCAGTCGCACTCGGTGCCGTACGAGTGGCTCCCGTCCTCCACGGCCTGCAAGATCTCGGGGGACAGGTAATCGGGGGTCCCCACTGCCACCGACGAGCAGATCGGCCGGGGGGGGGGGGGAGAGAATTCAGCAGGTGGGGGGCACCATTTCGGACCCCCCCCCTTGTCTTTGGTGCCGCAAGGCCCATGGCATGGCAGGGTCCCTTTGCCCTCCCCACACCGTCTGCTCCCTGCATAGAGATGCAGAGCTGCTTCGGCTGACTCACCCGGACTCGCGGACCAGCCGTGTCCTAGCTGCTCAGTCCGGGAGCGTGGCAGGGTGAGGCAGAGCGAACTAGAAGCAGGGAGCGTGGACAGGGAGCCCCCCCACCCCAGCCATGACAGAGGGGTTTGCCAGTAGGCAGATCTCCGGCGGGAAGCTGCGTCGTTTGCCTCGGCGCTGTTGCCCAAGGTGGCCAGATTGGAGGGGGCGGGGGGGCACTGCACTCACCGTGCCGTCCTCCCGGAGCTTGAGGCAGGAGCCGAAGTCCCCCAGGCGGATGTGCCCGCAACGGTCGAGCAGGATGTTGTCGGGTTTGATGTCTCTGGGGGGGAGGGGGGGGCGGACAGAAAGAGACTGTTGGGGGGTGGGGGAGTTAGGGAATCGCCCCCTCACTCCCAGGTGACGTTCGCTTCCCCCAGC